AGATACACTAAAAATATGACAGATAAATAAAAACAGAATTCTGTAGAATGCTCAAGAAACCTATACGAAGTCAGGGAGAAGAAAACAGAAAAATGAAAACAGAAAGAAAAGGAAAGTGACAGAAAAGCAAAAATAAAGTGACAGACTTAAGCCCTAGTATATCAGTAATTACATTAAATGCAAATGTTCTAAATACATCAATTAAAGACAGAGATTGGCAAAATAGATAAAAAATGTGACAACAATATATTATCTGTAAGAAACTCACTTCAAATACAACAGTATAGGTGGGTTGAAAGTAAAAGAATGGAAAAAGTTACATTATGTAAACGTTAATCAAAAGAATGCAGCAGTGGCTATATCAGTATCAGATAAAGTAGGCCTCAGAGCAAAGAAAATTACCAGAGATAGAGTGGAACATCAGTGAAATAGATAACAGAGATTAAGGAGTGCACTTATATGATGAGCACTGGGTGATGTGTGGAAGTGTTGAATCACTATATTGTACACCTGAAACTAATATAACACTGTATGTAAACTATAAAAAAAAAAGTCAATCTACAAAGAAGACAGGGCAATCCTAAATGTTATGCACCAAATAACAGAGCTGTAAAATATATGAAGCAAAAACTGACAGAATGGAAAGGAGCAATAGACAAATCCACAATTTTAGCTGGAGACTTCAACATTCCTCTCCCAACAACTGATAAAGCAACTAGAGAGAAAGTCAGCAAGGATCTAGAAGAACTCAACAGTATCAACCAACAGGATTTGATTGACATTTATAGAACACTCCACCCAACTGCAGCAGAATCCACGTTCTTTCAAGTGCCCATAAGACATATACTGATATATACCAATATAGACCAGATCTTGGGCCATAAAAAATACTTAGTAACTTTCCAAGAATTGAAATCATACAGAATGTGTTCTTTGACCATAATGGAACCAAACTAGAAATCAACACAAGTAAGACTACAGGAAATCTCCAAACATTTGGAAATGAAACAACCCACTTCTAAATTATCCATGCATCAAAGGGGAAGTCTCACTGAACTGAAGGACAATGAAAATACAATGTGTCAAAATTTGTGGGATGCAACTACAGCGTGCTGAAAGGAAAATGTAGATGCTTATATTATAAAAGAGTGCAAGCCTCAAATCAGTAATCTAAAGTCCCTGAAGAATCCAGAAAAAGAAGAGCAAAATGAACCCAAAGCAACAGAAGGAGGGAAATAATAAAGTTAAGAAATCAATAAAGTCAAAAACAGAAAAGTTGATAGAGAATATCAATGAAAAAAACTTGTTTTTTTTTGAAAAGATCAATGAAATTGAAAAACCTCTAGCAAGATGACAAAGACAAAAATAAGATCAGTCCCAAGATGAAATGGGATATCACCATAGACCCAGACATTAAAGGAACAATAAAAGAATAGAACTTTCTATATATAAATATGACAACTTAAATGACATGATAAACCAATTACTTAAAGAGCACATACTGCCATAACCTACCCCATGTGAAATAACTATTCAGAAAATAGAATCTGTGTTAAAAATCTCCAGACCCATGTGGTTTCACTGGAGGAATCTGACAGGTGTTTAAAGAAAAATTAACATTAACTTTATATAATCTCTTCAAGAAAAAACAAGTGCAGGGAACACTTCTCAAGTCATTTTATAAGCCAGTAATGCCCTTCTTTTAAAACCAGACAAAGACAATACAAAAAAAGGAACCTTCAGAACAATATTGCTCACCACCTTAAAAAGACAAATGTGGTGAGGACGTGAGCAACTGCAATTCTCTTACACTCCTGATGGGAGTGTCAGTTGGTGAAACTGCTTTGGATAAAGGTCTGAGATGAGCTACTCGAACATGCATATACCCCTCGGCCCTGATTTCTACTCTTGGTCATAGACCTAATAGAAATGTTCCCATATGCTCACCAGAAGACCTGTACAAGAATGTCAATGACAGTACTATTCTAATAGCCCCCAAATACCTTTGTGCCCATCGGGAGTAGAATGGGTAAGTAAATTAAGGTATATGCACATAATGAAATATGACTGAACAATGAAAATGAACATATTTCAATTACATGCAACACAAACATAACACTGAGTGAAAGAAGCCAGAAACAAGAGCACACACTGTATGATTCCATTGATAGAAAGTTCAAAAACAAGCAAAATTACTCTTTGGTGTTAGAAAAACGGGAGAGTGGTTATTCTTCTGGAGGGTGGTGACTGGATGGGGATGTGGCAGACCTGAGAGGCTAGCAGTGTCTATATCTTGATCTGGGTGCTGATTATTACATGGGTGTGTGTGTGTGTGTGTGGTTTACGAATATTCATCACACTGTATTCGTAGATTATGTGTACTTTTCTCTGTGTATGGTATATTCAGTTATAAGTTGACTAAAAAGCAAAAAACCAAAAGCCTATTGGTTCCAGTGACATGAAGGTAACAGGTGAGCCCAAGTTCCAAGGAAGTGGCAGGCTTTGGGGATCTAACATTAATTCCCATTTTACAAATGGTGACCCTGGAGCAGAGAACATCTTGGGGACTGGGGCAGGGCTGCAAAGCTACTGAGTCACCAGCAGAGCAGGGATTTGAACCCAGGGAGCTTGGCTGCTGAGCCTGTGTGTACTCACTAAACTAGCCTGTCTCTTCATCCTTGAGAGCGCAAAGACAATGAGGATAAAGGCAGCATTAGACAGAGTGTTCAAATGCATGTGAGTCTGAGGCGACTTGAGGAAGCGCAAACAGGCACAGCAACTTGAAGCTCTTGTGGATATCTTTTTGTCACAGCAAGTGACCAGTATTCACAAGGACATCCAGATGTCATGTAGGAGAAGGGTAAGGAGTTTAGTATTCTCTGTTTATTGAGGCAGGGAAATGTACAATACATTTTTGAAAGATTTTGGGTTAAGGGACAAACTCTGATGATGTCTGGCAAAATCATTTATGTGAAACATTTAATTATCTCCCAATGCCAGAAAAATGCAGTGTGTGTATGTGTGTGTGTATGTGTGTGTGTGTGTCCGTGTGTGCACATAAGCTCGACTCTTCAGGGGCACAATCATATTTTGGTCTTGGAGGGAAAAAATACCATATCATTAGTCTTTTTTAAAAGCATGGAAATTATGATTTTGTGATTAGGCCAGGCTATAATTATAGGCCAAAGCAGGATAACTTAATATAATTAGTGTTAGAGCAATCACTTAAACTACTATATACAAACCACTGTCTGGAGTCTTAATTATACCACTGTATAAAAATCATTCATTCTGTCAGCTGCTCTCATTGCAAATGATGGAAAGGTGTACACACAGAGGGACCAAATGTAAGAATAAAGGATCTAACCCGTATATTCTCAATACAATATTATCCATGGTCACAGATTAGAAAAGCAGTAGCTAATAAAGCAAAATGATTCAACTTAAAGTTCTTACTGCCTTAGAGAATGTGTCTAGTACATCCTTGAGAATAAATTTTTTTTTAAATTGAGTTTTCAGTGGAAGTATTTCCTAGAAATAACTCTGGAAATTTCTTTCCAAATTAAGAAATCTTGCTGAATGCAATACTCTGTGAATCCCTTTTCTAATATAAAGGACGCACAACCTACACATCTGATATGACTTAATCCACAATGTACGTATCTGAACCTCTCATTGGGAAATACATGAAGACATGATTAGCTGACAGTCACATAGATGAGGAACCAAAATTAGGAGTGAAGTAATTCTCAGCTCTGCCAAGATTGCTGTGTTATAGATATCTGACTGTCCTAGCGTGCACACCTCGAAACAAAGTCATCAGTCTCTACAAAACCTGAAGCCTGAGCAGCTTTCCTTGCTCAGTTAACCTTTCTTCACTTGGCTGCTACTCTAGTTTCAATGATAGTTCTATTTCACATCCAGGCCCTTCTTTGGTGCCTCACCTTCTTCTTCAAGGTGAACAAACTCCTCTGTGACCTCACAGCCACATTCTGCTTAGATGATCTTCCTGGAAATGTTCCTTTGACTTTTATTTCACCGCTGCACACTTTGTACATTATGTGCGTTTGCATGGCTAGACAGCTGAGTTGCCTGTATAGCACTCCATGACACCTTTGTATAAATTCACGATTCCAAGATCAACCGCATACTGTCTCCTATTGCATGTAAAAATAACTTCTGGAAAAACCTCTCTGGATTGTCTTTATACCTACCACATTTGTCCATACTTGACAAAATACCACACAGATAATAAGAAAAAGGAAACTGAAGTAGAGGAAAATCTATCTTTTGTGTTTTCAAACTTGCTTTAAAATACAAACATTTCCTGCAATGCAGAAGTTGAAAGTGATGAATGCTATGTGGATATTTTTCCACTTTAACTGACTGATCAGAAGAGTATTTATAAACCCCTGACTGATGTCTTGAGCTTGTAAATCAACACCAGGGAAGAACACTTTAAGCACATTTATCATCTAAGACAAACAGCCTATTCAGAGCATGATTATTTTTTATTCATCATTTAAGTTTCACCTCTACGTTTGCTTCTTCTCAATGTTAATAATATCTGTATAAGACTTCTCAATATTTAATGTTACAGCTTGCCTGTTGCATGCTGACAAGGTTAGGTCACATGCTTGATCTCTAGAAGACCAGTGAGCTTTGCCAAAAAGAAAAAAAAAAGAAAAGAAAAGAAAAAGAAAACAAAAAATGGTCGATTTTGTATTGAAGTCTGATGTTAGTCAGCTTCCTTGTCAGTTCCCATTGTTGGTTTCAATGACACAAAAATTGTAGCATCACAGTTTTAAAAGGGAAATTAAGCCCAAGATACTTTAGTGGACTGGCCCCATGACATGGAAGCTCATAATTACCAGAGGGCACTCAGCCTCTTAGAACACCACAACTTTGAATGTGTATGACTCAGTCAACTCCCAGGACAGCCCACTGGGTCAGTGGCGCTCTGTCACATTCAAAGACGGAAACATAAAACGAAATCTTACCTGCTCATTCTCCTCTTCGTCACTACTTAGCTTAAGGTCATCTTCTAGCATTCTGAAAAAAGGAACAAAGAGGTACAGCTACTTAGCAAATTCAAAATAATTCACCAAACTATCTCTGTTAGAGCAATGTTTCAATAATAAGTATATTTTATTTCCTGATTAATTGCAAAAACAAAACAAAACAAAACCCAAAAGAAACCCTTTCAAGTCTTTTCTTCTGATGTACTTAGGAAATAACTGCACCATAATGAAAATTAACCCTCACAACAGTCCTTTATAGAGATCAGATGGGTTGCTTCAAGAATATGAGGTTGTAAACCAACAGAATCAGGTGCTTTTGCTTGCAGTTTGAATTCCAGTTACTTGTTCAGTGTTTGGCATGTGACAGTGCTGTGCTATGTCTCCATGATTATTCATGGTAAACAATCAGAGAGCAGGAAGAACTCTGCCGACAGCAATAACGCAATAAACTGGAGCTGTGAGCTGTAGCTGCTTAGGTCTCCACCAGTTAAACATCTGGAGAAGACATCTGCCCGAAGACTCTGCTGGATGAGGAAGACCAAATGGGAGAGAACTTTCCGAAAAGACTCTGTGGAGGCAATTCCCAAGTGCCTGTTGGCTCTGTTAGGTTTGCCATGGTGGAGGCAGTGGGGAAGGATACTTTTGGGTCCGTAAGAGTCCAAAGTAAAAACATACAAACAGAAATTCAAGTCCTCTTATTTCTGATGATGATAAAATTGTATTCTTAGTGGCACTGGTGAATTGTTTATAGGGTAATAGTTTTCAGGTTAATTCATTTCAGATGAAATCTCACTCAGAAGGATACTCTGTAACACAAATGAATGCAGGCAGAGCTGCTCTGTGGGGTGGGGGTGGGGTGGGGAAGAGTCCATTTCTGATGGACCCCGGGGTTCCAGGAACCAGTCTGAAGACCACTGAGATGTGCTTGAAAGACCTCACTGTCCTCCTTGAAGTCACCTTCCAAAGACTGTCCCCTAAAATGTGCCTAGTTTCTTTAAAAGCCAATTATAGGCCCATCATCAGTATATTCCTCTGAATATTTTTATAAGTAATTTCAGTGATTTTGGGGGTGAACTTGGGGTAAAGACTTGCCAGGGCAGCACATGGACCCAGTTTTGCCCCAACTAGGCGTTTGTTTGGAGAAAATCACTGAACGCCCTCACCCCTGGTCCCATTGCCTGAGTTGTAAAATGACAAGTTATGCTGGGCAATCTCTACGGTCCAGTCCTGCTTTAGATTCTATGAGTCTAGGGAATAAAGTCGCCCCCTCTTTCATAAAGTAGAAAGACTCTTGTATTTGTTGTAGAGAGCACAGCTGAGATATTTTTAAGCAATTTCTGGTGTACCATGTAAGCTGTAACCATTAGGACACCAGATCTGTTTCCTCACAGGCGATGGCTAGTCTACCAGTATGGAGAAGTATCACTCTTGTAGTATTTCAACCACAGGCAAACCAAGAAAGCACCAGTGAAGACTGCAGAGCTATATCCCCAACTGCCCTTTGTATCTGTTGGGCGTGTCATCCGTTCCCTTTGACCTCACAAACTCCCACCCTTAGCTTCAAAGAGAAGAGACATGGTGGTGATTTATTACAGTATTGTTTGGGAAGAAACTTCTAGGAAGGGGACTGTGTTTTCTTTGTCCTTGAGTCCCCAGTCACCAGCACAGTGACGGCACAGAATACAATACCAATTTGTTGGCTGGGCTGGGGCGCCTTCCCCAAGCCTATTTTCCTACCAAAAGGCACAAATGGCTTTCTGATGAAAAAGCCCAGAGAAGCAGGACCATATCTTGCGTCCACCCCTCACTCTCTCTTTAGGGGTAAACCGCAAACTGCAATTTGGTTTCATCTCGAGGACTGCCCTGAAGGCACTGGATGTTCCCAGTGTGGGTGGTCCTGTCAGTGGGTGGGAGGAAGGAGGGGGGAGGTATACACACAATCCTCATTAACAACCCCTTTGTTGTTGGATAGAGGTCACGTTAAGGGTGACTGGGAAGTCTCATCTTCATAGGGCGATAGCATGCACAGACTTGAAGGCCACTGTCAACCCGAGCAAGAAACCCCAACATGCCCCAAAGCAAGGGATCTCAGCTTGGCTGCACACCAGCCATGTGACTCAGTCACCACACGAGGCTGGCAATGCTGAAAGGAACCACAACAGTAAGAACAGTGTGTGAGGTTCTGTTTTAAGGTGGGGAATACAGCTTATTTTGGTTTATTTGAAGCATGTGCTAAATGTGTAAACACATCACTGGGTGTTTGTTTGAATTTCATACTGTCTCTCACATCCCCTGATCCCGAGTGAGTCACACCTCTGGGCCTCGGCTTTGTCATTTCTGTATTTGCTATCATCTCTAGAAGAAAAGCAGTCAGAGGTCCACCTTGCTTTGTGAATTTTTTATATTTAAAAAAAATGAATTTATTGTGTTTCCAGCTGAGATCTAAAAAAACTAAGGATCAAATGTAAGAATACCTCGTATTCAGGAGAGACTTCCTGAGAAGTTATAAATCCCATTAAACTTCCAAATCTTGAAATGAGAGGAAATGGCACTGAAACACTAAGTCCAGTTCATACACATCCCACAGCAGCCCTGGGACTGTCACCACCTCTCTGCACCCAATCGCCAGCAGTCACGCACCGAGGGAACGGATGCTCAAGGCCATCCTGGAACACAGTCCAGCCCTTGTGCTTTATTCTGATGGTCACGGCGGAATCCCCGCAACTCAACATTCACTGCGTTCTTGAAGCCTGGCCTAGCCGACTTGAGGAGGAGGAGTCAGAGTGGATATCTTAAGCTATAGCCGAACAACAAAGCATGGTTGAAGAAGAAAAATGCAGTAATCCCACAAGATCCTAAGAAACGTCAGTGTGTGGAGGGTCACAGGTAGACCGGAGGCCGGGGTTAGCTCCATGTAAACACACAGAGGGCACTGTGGTCATTGTGCCCCCAACTCCAATCCTACCCATTTGAGAACATTTTATCATCTATTTCCAAAAGGAATAGATTGGCATGAACAAAAAACAAAGGTTTAAACCAAAAGTAAAAGAAAATCCCAGTGTTGGTGAGGCCAAAGGGCAGGGGCGGGTATCTCCAACTCCATTTTTGAAAAAAGGAAGACAAAGTCTCCGATGCTCCGAAGGGCTGGAAGCAGAGTTTGGGATGGGTCATCTGTACATCAGCACAGGGCCTGTGCTTCGGGATCGTGCTGGCTGCCCTAACCCTATACACCTGCATCTGAGCACCACTGGGCCTTCCTCCAGCCAGTGATGCCCACCCAGCCAGAGCCACTCCCTTTCATGTGCCCTTAGCCCTTCCCCTTCTCAGCCCCTGGGAGCTCCCCCAGGTGCCTGAACTGTTGATTGGTAGCAGTGCTCAGCGTTGAATGGATGTTCATGCCAGGCCGGCTGAAAGCACTTTCTACACGTTACCTTGCTCAATCCCACGCAACTCCTCCAAGGTGGGCGCTACTGCGGCAGCAGGCAGGCGAGGTGCTCCAAGCATGGGCTGTGCAGTCAGGCTGCCCAGGATGAATCCTAGTTCTAACCACTCAATGAGCTGAGTGTCCCGATACCTGCCTCCACGGGTTTTCCAGAGAAATCATTACACAATCATTGGAAAGTGCTTAGCACAGAACCTGGCACAGAACAAGCATTCAATAAATGTTCGTTTTTATTAATATTTCTTTTTTTTTTTTTTATCTCTGAGGGTAATGCCTTAGAGCATTTAAGGAATTTGCATGGGTAAACAATTTGGGAGAAAAGCTGTTTCTATAAGAATGCCTTAAATCTAAGCCCTTTGGCTCTACTTTCTGGACATTCTGAAAAGAAAAGATGAGATTTTCTAGAGGTTGAGGATGGGGTAATGTATTTTAGGTTATAATTGCTGCCATGGTTGATTGATAGGACTGCGCTTACTGCTACAGTGGACACAACGCATGCTCATCAGCCTCAGTGCACAAGGAGATCTGCCCTGAGGGCCAGCCGTGAGTCCCCTCCAGGACCCACTGAGTGATGACAACAGGGATGTTGAAATAAAATAGACAATAAAATGGGACTTTCTGAAGTAAGGCCAGAGAACAGAGGTGCAGCCAGAGGTGCCGAGAAACCTGGACTCTGTGCCCGGAACACCTGACATGCTGTCACTGCTGTCAGAAGCACTCCAAGGTCGGGCCCCAGGGTGACTTACCCGCAGAGTCCGAACCAGGTAACCAAGAACTGAGACGTGAAAGGACGCAGGCAGGATTTTTAAACATGCAATTAGGTGATTAAGATTCTACGTATCTTTCACTGGGGAACTGCATTAGACAACAGTTTCTTAAAATTATCGTCCCAGGCTTGTTATCACTCGCCCGGGGGAGCACCTGGGGCAAAGATCACGAGGTTTTGAGGCACGGGCTGCAGGTCCCATGCTCTCATGCATGGAGGGGGCCTGGCGTGGACGGCTTCCAGGGGAGGTCGCAACGAGGCTTCCAAGCTCTGACGAGGGAAGCAGGCACAGACAGTTCCCTGTGAGGTCTGCTGAGGACTACCTCAGGTAGTGAAGGATGAATGGCAGCACGGTCCCCCACCAGCAGGAGCTCTGACACCTCTCGGCTACTACTACTCCTGTAGTCACATGGTAACGAGGGGCGGGGGAGCAGGTGCACTGTCCCAGGGCCGGGGTTCCCTCACATACTACATTCAGATCAGCACTGCCACTTGGCCATTTAAAAAAATGCCTCCAAACTGTGAAGCTCTGGCACACACAACTGTCACAGAACCTAGCCACCTCATCTGGCGGTATCTGTGGTAGCGCTCAGGAAGGGGAAAAATAAAACCCTTAAGACTTTAATATCTGATGACGGTAACTTTCCCACGGGTGGTATTTTTTAATTGGGCAATAGACACACTTCCGTTGTTGCCAGTCCTTACGTTTCTGACGTACACCACTTCTCAGGGAGCAGAAACAGTAGCCTCTCCTTAGCAGATGGCCAACTGCTTCTCATGCTCCCCTATTTCTTCACAGGTATCGCAAACGGGCACATTAACT